AGCTCTAGCTCTAGCTCTAGCTCTAGCTCTAGCTCCTGTCTGCGGTGTTGATAGGTGAGCAGAGCGGCGGAACTCACTTGTGTGTGTCGCGACGCCGGAACCGTGAGAGCGAGTCAAAGTCAGAAATGGGCGCGTCTTGGTCTGTCTTCATCTACGCCCAATGGGGCGCAGAGCCTTCGAAGAAGGTCCGCGTACATTGATCTCATATATGGCGTGCAAGATTTACTCTCAATCACCTCACCAGATCTGACGCTTACCGCGCCCTCGCTCTTCTTCATCTATACAATAATTATGACCTGAGCAAGTGTCAGCAAGCAAGCGGAATTGAACCAAATGAGTAGCTGTTACCGCACCTCGAGATTGCATGCATGGTCTTCACCTGATTGCCTTTCCAACAATGCTCCCATGACTGGGAAGGAGCAGGATGATTGAGAGGCCAGGCTCGCGCAGACAGGCCAAGCTGAATGCGCCGGACTTTTGAGACCGAAGAAGACGGACGGCACATGCAGCGTGACCCGTGCATCTCAACGGCTCGATGAGTGCCAACGGCCTCGCGGCCAACGACTGGGGGGACCAGGGAGCCAGCCATAAAGAACTCGCTAGCGTGCAGCGATTTGCACATACGCACGTACCCCATACGTGGTCCATGAGCATGCTTGCTCATTGCCTCTCTCTGCTCCTCAATCACGAGCATGAACTCATCTCGGCGCATGGTCATCCGCTTTTGCGTCAATGCCCGCGAGCAGAAGCGAGCATGCTGCAGCAACCCCCTGCGGGCGCGCAGGAAGATGACCGCGCGCGTCCTGCATGCCCGATTCACATTCACATTCGCACAGCATTCTCCATTCGTGATTGCACTTTCAAACCACAGCAGCGACCAATGCCAGGTGGCCCGCCTTCTGCTGGCCCGCTGGCCCGCTGGCCCGCTGATCCGCTGCCCTTGGACTCTCTCCATTCTGATTCAAGATTTACCATTGCCGAAATGATTCGAAGCGGGAGCAGACTCGAGCCTCACCTTGCGTTTGATTTTGAGAAAGCAAACACTTCTGATCCTAGAAGCAAATTCCATCCTGCACAGAACTCCAGGCGACGCCGAGTGTGCTGAAGTCGAAGGGTGAGCCATTGCAATCTATATGCTAAACAAGCTGAGTCCTGAAGATACATGCCGCCTCGAGCCGGGCCATGGCTGCTCAAAGTGGGAGAGGCAGCTTTCGCACAACGCGAAGCTTATTCCGCTGGCTACTGAGATCCGCCTACTTGAGTTGGCCGCGACTCACCAGGCTTGACCCAAAGTATTCGTTCGGCCAATAGGTGAGGCTGTAAATTCTCTGTGAAATGAATTTGCGAAGAGCATTTCCACTAGGCTGTGACATGATGACCTTGGATCTTGGCGTGCGTAGACAGCAAGCACCTGCACTCGGACGCCGGTGCCCACGACGATCACCTGATGATCGTCAACTGCGACGCTGGTGACACTACACTCATCTCCGCTCCAAATCGATTGCTGTTATCCTGCTTGGCCTCGCATCTGATCCCTTCACTCATCACACATTCAATCCCCATCTTCAGATGCGGCTGGAGCTATGTACCATGCGCGGCTGACAAACTGTGCTGAGAGTTCGACGCTAGATGGGAGCATCGCATGGATGTATCTCGTAGCAGTAGCGGCAGATTGGTGCGTGGACGGCCAAACTCAGCGGGGGCCTGCAGCCGTGGGTGAGTAACGGCGGTGTGAGTGTGGGTACTGTGGTGAGAACCTGACGCTGTAGGTATCGTAGACTTGATGGCGCAACTTGGATTCTCAGGCGTGAGAAGCGACAGCGCTCACGATGTGAGCACTAGGCTCAGCAGGGGTCAGCTCACTGCTCACGATTGTGGGCTCGGGCTTGTCAGGGACTCGGAGACACGATGTCTACTCGTGTGCCAGCGAACCATCACGTATATGCCGGCATCGTCGGACATGAATATAGAGAGCATGAACCAGCAGGAATGACTGGTAACGCCGGAGTCAAAGTCACGAGTCGTGAGTGTGAAGGCCGTGTACCGCATGAAAGCTGCTCCTCGATCACTGCTGTACCGTATAGGAGCTGTGTTTATACAGATGCATGGTTCCTAGCCCGTGTACCGCATGAAAGCTGCTCCTCGATCACTGCTGTGCCGTATAGGAGCTGTGTTTATACAGATGCATGGTTCCTAGCCCGTGTACCGCATGAAAGCTGCTCCTCGATCACTGCTGTGCCGTATAGGAGCTGTGTTTATACAGATGCATGGTTCCTAGCCGCGGCCCACCGCGCACGCGACTCTTGAATTTACATTAGCTGCTGCAGCAGCGCTTTTCGTGCAGCAACTGCACGGAGGTCTCCAGTGGCTGAACCAGCGGAGCACGGGCCGCGTGCAGCCGCAGCATGCACATGCACTAGGCCCCCATCCTTGAGAGCAAGTCGAGGTGCGGACCTTTGCAGCTCGTAAACGCATCTCACGCTAACAGCCCAGCGATAAGCGACTCAAAGTCGGTTTCGTTGCTAGCATTTGCGATTCGTGCTGAAAGCCAAAGTGTGGTCCAGAGCCGTGGACGAGACCGCTGTTCTACGCTACATATGCGCCCACGATCATGTCGCAATCGAGCGCGGCCCGGAGTTGCGCTGAGCCCGCAAAGCGCTCGCTGGTCTGGCCGTCGTTATGGCGGATCGAGCTGCTCAAGCGCCTCGATCGCCGGGGCGACCGTTAAGGTCCTGGTCAGAGCTTCGCGTCCTCGTGCTAGAGCAGGCCCTTAGTGATCCATGCCACACAAGCGCCGTGTACTCGCAGGATACGCTTCACGCCAATGGAGAGCCTAGACCACGGCCAGGCGCTGGGAAGAAGGGCAAGGGGCCATGGTGCGCGGTAGAGAGACGAGGCGCTCAACAAGCCGCGAGCTTCCCCACCTCGAACTTGCACGTCTTGTGCAGCTCCGGGGCAGCCCGCTTCTTTGAAATTTGGCGCCCTTTGCATCGACAAATGTTGTTTCGGCATCATGTTCTGCTGATCAGTCATTCGCGAGTCGAGGATTATGACCTTCTTTAGCAGCCGGGTTTCAGAAGACCAACAGATCCAGCTCTCAGTCTCCTGCTTCGAAGGCGGTCTTGCGGATGCCTTCCTCACCTGCGAGCTAGACGTCACACGTCTAGCCCGGACGACGTTCCCACGACCGTTAGACCCGGACAGGTAGTGTGGAAATCCAGCACGTGCAGTGTTTTATGAATCGACGACGCAAACTTCGGAACCTATTCAAATGCCGAGCCGAGCGTAGTGTGGAAAAGCTGGGGTAGAGACGGAAAAAATTTCCACGCCACTCACCATCTTCGAACGCCTGGTTTCAAAGTCTCGACCGAGCTTTGACGGCTGTCTCACCCTTGCGATGTCGATCTGTCGACGATCATCGTCGATGAAATCTAGGAGACAATGCCATAACCTCAACCACGCACGCTAGCGTGAGAAAATGTAAGTTCACGCGAAGAGGGAAGAGCAAGTCGGAGGTATGTTCCTGGCTAGCTTTCACCGCCGCAAGTGAAGGCCATGAACAGTGGGATGCATCTTTAGCTCTTCCAGCAATGGAGCAAGATAAACGTTGGATTGCGGAACCCCGAGAGCTGGCTTGACCAATGAGGAGCGGATTCCGAAGCCAGAAACCGAATAAGCACCGTGGAATAGGGGTGGCGATCGCTTGTTGCTGTTAGCGAGACGCCATGCCAAGGAACGAACGTTGTTTGGAGTGACCACAACTCCAGCGTGCGCGCTGAAGCTGCAAGTGCTTGTTTGCCATCCCACCATCTTTTCGATCGAACAATTGCCAGGCGCTTTGTCTGATATGGCGCAGACAAACATTTTCGTGAGCGCCTTAGGAGACGCCGAGCTTCAATGAATGACTTGATGTGCCAATGGCATGGATTCAAAGACAGAGCTTCTTCGAACGGCATCGCCCTACAGGAAAGGCCGCTCCTGCAAGGCCAACCGGGAGGCTGTCGGAGCGTTAAAGCACGGTGGCCACCTTCACGTGCGAGAAGATGAGCGATTGCCTGTAATGCATGGCAGCGCCGACCTTATAGGGGATTGAAGATCGCTCGCAATCACGCGTGGTCAACGCCGCCGATAGCTAAGGGCTGTTTGCGGATACCGCCCGCTCGTGCAGTGTACAGGGAAGTCCCAACTTTGGTCGAGAGCCGAACAGCCGGAAGTAGGTCGTTACTTCACTCACGTGACTCCCGAACGTTTCCGGTCGGCTGCGTGGCTGCTTCATGAAAACCCTCGATTTCACTTGTTGTGACGTCGAAAGGTGATGACGATTCCGCTGCTGGCCGTGGATCTGCCAGAGGCTGGCTCTGCCCGTGGTCTTCGTAGACATTCTAAGCGTGCTCCCCGTTCTCATCCTGGCCGTTCTGCTGCGCTTGCTCTGGAGCTTGGCGACTTTGATCTTGCTCTCGTCGTTCGCGCTTGCGACGATTACGCGATTGCCTGTTCAGCCTTTCAATATCGTACGACTTGAGCTGACGCTGGAAATCAGCGAAAGCCTTTTCACTATGCGTTGGCCAATCGAAGGGCGCCGCGTCCGAGGCTTTGTGCGTCACGAAGTCCTCGAACTTGGGCCTTTGCAGCGGCTCTTCTTGAGAAAGACGATCTGTTGCACCAACGGGCACTGTCACAACAGCAGGTGCTGCGGTTGCGGCCCCGGATGTACCAGATGCTGGCTCAGGTCTCGCATCATCGCCGCTCAGCTGTGCATCCTGGTCGTGGGGAAGGGAAGACGCAATGCCTGAACTCAAGGCAAGCCTATTCAGGCCCAGATGATTTCGAAGAACCCCTTTGGCTTTGGCTGCAGGGACGTATGGTGAGGAGGATGATAGAGCAAAGGCTCGCTTTGACCTATTCTGGGAGAGGACGGACAGATACGTAGCTGAAAATTGGATCGCAGTGAAGGAGAGTCAGAAAATTTCCCGCAGAGGTCCGCGTCACCGGAATATGGCGGCAACAGCTTCCTGCTTCTCCTCGCATCCTATCGATCCGCGTGCATCACTACTGTGCAAGATAGCTGGTGTACTCACCTGCCACAAGAGCGGCACTGATTTCGAAGCGATCAAATGCGGAGCGCTTTCCGAAGCCGCGTTTAGCATTCATTCTAGCAAGTCGCTCGACGCTTGCCTGGGTCGGATCCGATCGGGTACGTGGCTCGTCTTTTCGCTTGCCCTTCGCAAGTTTGCGTTTGGGAGCGTCGACATCGTCCGAGGCATCCGAAGCAGAGGCACTGCTCTCGCGCGACCGTAAAGGGCTTTTCCCCTTCCGACGCTTGTTGGGGCGCGGCTGTGATCGCGAGCCATCCACAGCATCGTCGGCAGAGAAGTCGGGACCTGAGCCAGCATCTCCGTCTGCACCATTCGATACCTCAACACCCTGGTCGAAAGCCTCGGAGCCTCCATGGCGGGGCGCGCGTCGGCTGGTACGTCGCGGGCTGCGGTTCACCTCTTCGCCGGATGTCTCCGGGTCAAATTCGGAATCGGCAACGGTTTCGGACAATTCTTCCTCCTCTGAGTCGTCATCTTCCTCTGTGGTGTCCTGGTCGCTGTGTGCGGGGTCATGATGCATGCCCCAGCTCTCTGCATCGCCTATCCAGCGACCTTCAGGCCCGCCTCGTCTGCTCTTGAGCCGTCTTTTCTTTGTACCATTTCCGGTGACGTCGCGATGATCCGACACTATGGTGGGTGCATGCGGCAAATGAGACCGGGCAGAGTAGTATGCTGTTGCTTGCGAAGTGACTATCGAGACCAGTGCCTAGCATACGCGAGCGGATACAGAGTCAAGGGGGGTCCCTTTGAGTGAGCTCGGTTTGGGTATATTCAGGGCGCTTGACAATGCTTAGTGAATTCGACAGTAATCACTAACTCACCGGATGAGGTAGGCGTGATGGGCGAATGACGGAGTGGGAGCTAAGCAGCGCCTGCGACGAAGCACGCTGCTCTTCGCCGACAAGCTGCGGCGTCAGATGCCGTTCCGTAAAGTGTGCAGATGGCGAGCTAGTGGATCGTCCACTCGACCCCGAGTCCATTGCTGCAAGAAGCGCTTGCTCTGGGCGTGAAGGTAGATGTGAGCGACAGGCCTTTGATGATCGATCTCCACCCCTGCCTCTTTAATTCGCGCTCGAAGCGAGGCACAGACAGGGCGGAGAAGGCACCTGCGCCTGGCCTGTCCGACGCTTTGCACAGTGCCTCCGTCGGCACGCCACTTGAGCCACTGGGATGTAGTCACAAATGCTCCCGTCTATCCTTACATCGGAGACGCGGGGCCTTGCCATCCAAGTTTTGATGAATCTTTGATAAATTCTTGGCGCGGCCATTTGATATGGTGGATTTCCAACTCACGACTCCAGCGGAGTCCAACACGGAACTCACCTTCTCGAAACTTAGGATTCAAAATCCATGGCACGCAAGATCAGGATGTGGAGCTGGCCTGCAAATCACAACCGTGTTTGTATAATGTTGAACCATGAATGCTGTTGTCGTGATTGTCAAACCACTCAACTCTCACGAACGACGAATTCCAAAATCCTAATCAATAATCACAATTTTGAATCGAAAAGATATACATAAAAACTCAGGAACTTTTGTGGGTCGCCAATCACGTGAGTGAACAAAAACACGTGATCTGCCTGAAGACTTGCGGCCCCAAGCAACACTCATGAGACTTAACTCTTGACTCAGACTTACCAGCACTCTAAAAGACTCTTGACTCTTGACTCACACGTACGCAACAGCGCGAGGTGAAACTAGCGAGCTGCGCAAAGATGAATTGTGGGCTACAAAATGATGAAGATGTGAAGCGCAGTAGTAAAAATGTTGCGGATGGCATGAGAGGCTGCATGTTGGCCCTTGTGACGTGACTTTGAACAGGTTGCAAATAGGTAACTTGAAAGGGAGACGTCTTCTAGTCATCATTTTGTGTGCTCCTCCGTTGGCTTAGAGGCGGAAGTGTGCGCGAAAAAGGTTGCTCTTGCTCATAAAGCGCTGGTATACTCGGCAAGTTCGGAGGCGGAGTGACTGGCAGGTGTGACGCTATGGGAGTCGTGACTGCACGAGCCCCAGTCTGGCTCGGAATAGGCAAATCAAAGCCTTCCATCATGACGCTGCTCGGTGCCACAGGTACCTGGGGCATCTCGGGGCAGGTGACGCCCTTGCGAGCTAGATCACGCCTCAGGTCCTCTGCATACTCCTGCAGCCGACCCACGTAATGACACAATTCGTTGAGGTAATCGCTGCGATGCTCGAGCGTTCGCATGCGCGCATCCCTTCTTTCTCTGAAAGCTCTCTGCGCTTTTCGATTTTGCGCAGCTCGTCGGGAGGACAAGAGCTCCCTTTGGGCGGCCGTGCTGTGTGCTGACGAAGGCTCGCCCACATCGCCATAGTCGTCGTAGCTAGGATCTTCGACAGCGCTTGAGAGAGTCATCGCGGCGTCTCGAGGCAGGCCAGAGACGCTGCGCTCGCCGTCTGAGGCAGCGATGGTGATGGGCAAGAGTCAGCCCCGCTGTTGGTTTGGAACGCTCGGAGAAGCGCTCCGCCTTTGCAGGTGCAAGCAGATGTGTGCGCTCCTGAATCATGGGCATCGCCAGTCCCGGCTCACCAACACGTCGACACTCACCGTGCCTCGATGCCCCGGCTTCATCGAAGCGAGCGCTCAGCGAGTAAGTTACTCGAGGGGCCGTTCCGTCATATGAGCGATGGAACTGCGATTGGTGGCTGTCTCTAGACCCATCGATCGTCACTCTCCTTTGCTTTGCCGGTAGGAGAGACGTGGACTCAGCCAGCATGTCTCTGCTAGAGCTACCCGGAATGTCGCTTCGCCTCCGGTTGTTGCCGTTCTCTGTGCTGTTCGGGTCTGGTGCTGGATACGCGACTCCTGATGGGCCACTGCGCTCGCTCGGTGAGTACGGCGGGCGGTGGATAACGCTCGGCAGCTGGTGCGGATAGGGCTGCAGTCTCGCGAAGCCTGGCTGAGCAAAGGATGTGGAAGAGGTCCAAATCGGTCGATCTGGCGAGCCAAAGCCACTAGACCTTCCTGGCGGCCCTGACCCTTGGCTTTGGAAGTGCTCAAAGCGCGAATAAGGACCAGGTATCGGCGGATTGATCGTGGGATAAGCAACGTTCTCGACTTTGGCACCAGCACTACTACCAACTCCGCTTCCATCCGCACCACCCTCGGGGCCGCTGGCACCTTGTGAAGGTACTGGGACATTCTTTTTGCGTCTGGGAGGTGAAGCTTCGCGTGCACTAGACTCTCGTTGCATGCTTTCTCTCGGCGCGAGAGCGGGCTGAAAGTAGGGATTGGAAGTCTTTCTTTCCAAAGTGTGCACTCGTTGATTTCGTTCCTCTTTCAGCGATCTTGGCGGGAAGAGAATGGGTGGTAATGACGGTCTACGACTGCTACGACCTCCTTCTTCTGGCCGCTCGCTCATAATTTGCAGGTTGATGAGTAAGAATAGTAGAGAGGCGGAGCCGGCTTTCATGAAGATTTCGAGCCAAGGCGTGAGCTGCGAAGTCAAGGTGACGTGTGTGCCCTTGACTACGGCAGCAAGGCTTGCTCTCTGAGATACGCAGTGATGTCTCAAGTGCCGTGCGGGGTGATGGTTGATAGAGCAATTTGTACAAAGGAAAGTGATTGACAGGACGCGTCCAGACGTGTGAGCGCTCTGCCTCTGCTGTCGTTCTATTGTGCGTTCCAAGCCTACCGCTCTCCTCTCGCAATCGGCATACGGGGATTCCCAAGTATCTTCGCTGCATGCGATTGTGCTGGGGCACAATTTGTCCGACTCAATGAGCCCTAAGGCACAGGAAGTACGTTGTATTGAGAAGGCCTTAGCGTGCTTACATACGGCGAGAGCCGCGTTGCGTGAATTGGAGATGTAAGGTGTATGTAGCAGCACGACCGGGACCTACGGTGATTTGTCCGCTTGTGCTGGTGTGGTACACGATCGCTTGGCGCATCGAAAGTCTGCGAGCCTCCCAAGGCTTCCAAGTTTGCAGCCGGGCAAGGGACCCGGGAAGCAGGCCTCGGATCTTAGGCAGAAGAGGTGCGGATTGGAAAGTGCCGAATGCCCGGCAGTGCTGCTGCTGCAATGGTAAGCGAAGTGTGAAGGGCTAATCGCACCAAAGCCTTGAAAGAAGTGCAGAAGAGGGCGCCTGCACAAATGCCGAAGACTGACGACCATGCAGATCGAGCTTGTATTGGCGTGCAGCACGTCGACGAGATGCGGATGCGTTCCAACGTCTTGAGAAAGCGTCAAATCACGAATGCGAACCGCCGAAGCGCACGAATTGACAAGGGTTCACCTGCAGTCAATTGATGAGTCGGGCGACTTCTCCGCTCGCACGGACAAGCGAACACGTTGTCGGAGAGGAAGTACAGGGAGATGTACGTACGTTATAGCTACTCCACTACTGCTGCTAGTCTTGTATCAGAAGTGGCGGACCACGGCCGATCATCGGCTCCGGTAAGGTATATTGCCACTCTGCGCCAGACTCGACGAATTCACGCCAATGTTCAAAGACTGGCTGCGCTGGAGCGGTACGCCATGCAGCATCTGTGCGTCTGCTATACCGCATCCGCGGTAGGCAGGCCATCAGGCAGAAGGCAGGCGGGCAAAGGTTCGCTGCGGTGCACAAGCGAGTCCCATGTGCGCAAGAGTGGTGCATCCGCAAAGTTGGGGCTTCAGCAAGAGCAAGGATGGGGCGCCTGAGACTTGACAAGGAGAGAGGTCTATCTGCCTTCTACCTGTGTCTCGACGCGCAGTGATCCGATTGCTGCTGCTGCAAAGCCTTTAGAGCCGCCGAACCCACTGATAAAAGGTTCTACAGCAGTCACAAGTCTGATGTGTGCGCGATATCGGAACAAGACTGCAAGCGCTACAGTGCAGTAAGTACGGTACATATCTAGCCAAGCTTCGCTTGCCGGCAATCAGCAAGAGTCGCGAACAACTGTAGAGGCGAGAGTGAGCGAATGCAACAAATTTTGCTGCGATCCACAAGCTAGGCGAGATGCACGTCGCAGCTTGATACAACAGTCTTGATTAGCGTCGCGCGCGACCCACCTTAGCGTTGGAGAGAGAGAGAGAGAGTCGGCGAATGCCGCGTCAAGGGGCGAACATTCACGCCACGCTCATCACCAGCGAGGTTCTGTTCGACGCTGTCGAGACTGCAAAGTACGACAAATCTCAGAGCTGTCTCGCGTCTCATCAGCCGCGTGATGATGATGCCTGCGACAATCGAGTACGACTCATAGTTGACTCTTGACCGACCGGGGGCCCTTTTTCGAGCATCGACAACAGAGCGGATAGAACGAGTCGAGAAGCGCTGCCGCATGCTCGACGTGGAAGGTCTCAACACCGCAACTGCACACACGGCCCAGACAAGCTTGTCTCAGATCCTATCTGAATCCAGAAGGGTCAATGACGAATCAGTGATGCCATTCGTGATTCACGATCATGTCTCTTGCGCACATTCGTTCCATCACGAAGATATAGCAGCTGCCGTCTCCGCAAACCAGCTGCATCTCTTCATTTTCCCGCAATCGAAATCAGGCCGCAGACGAGCGCCTGCAGCCAGCAGCGCATTGCAGTCCGAGTCTTGATCGAGTAGTGTTCGTGAAGGCATGCAGGATCCGGTGCAGTGCACATGCAGGTTGGATCCTGTCCTCACACCCATCAGACTCACGATTCAGGAGTGCAGCGCCTCTTGTATTGGGAGCGGGAAGGTGTGCTGCATGACTCACGACTGTGGCTGAACCGAACCGATCTCCGCGACAGCTGCGCAAGAGTGCGCCTCGCGCGACATCGCGCATGAAGTGCGCCCCCCCTTTAATTTGCTTTTGGGGGTGCCTTGACCGCGCAGAAGAGTTGCGGGATCGATGAGGCCTTGCCTTGCCTGCTTCCGTGTAGTCGCGAGGGAGACAGACAGGGAATCAATCCTCTTCCTGGTGCAGGTTTTCGGACGTTCTTGACGATCGAGAAGGAGCTGCGCGCTGCAAGCGTCTGCATCATCGTACCACTGCGCTCAGAATCGTCCATACCCTCTTCCAGCGCATGGCCACAATTCGATCTAAGCAGACCAGTCCTAGCGGGGCAGGCGGAAACTTCGTTCTAAAAGAGCTTTGGCTGCTGCTGCAGGAGGTGCAGCATGCAGCAGCGTGGTCCGAGCGGTGAAGCATCAAGGGTGCCGCGGATACGCGTAAGCCGAACTCGCTCGCGCACTAACGCGCGGTGGCCCACCACTCTCTCTGACATATGTAGCATTGGGCCTAGACCCAAACTCCGCACTTAGCGCGTTCTTGCAAATGGGAACGCCGTCCCCGCGAGCGGACTTGACTGGCATGGGCAGAGAGAGGTTTGCCTGGCGCTGATTCCAACGCTCGCAGCTGATCGGATTCGACTACGGCTCGACACAATTCAGACTGGCGGAAAAGAGCGAGCTTACGGCACCGGCATGCATGAGTGGAAAATACCCACAGAGGGAGTGGGAAGAGCTTTGCATGGAAGTGGTCACCAGCAGGAGGTGTCCTACATTTATTATTATCGCACGAAGCCTGGATGGTATTTTATCCCTACCGGCTTTGCCTGCCAGCCTGACAGAGAGTCAAGTGGAGAGCTTTCGTCGTGAAAGCACGCGCTCTTTCGGGAAGGCAAGATCGGAAGTTGCTGTACGATGAAAGGGGAATCAGACAGCTTCGTCGTGAGGAGACGCAACACTCTCCGCCCGAGTACAGTCACTCAAACCCATCATGCAACGACACCCGACGTGGGCGTGAACGCTATATAGAGCACGAATTCGAGAGCATGTTCCGCATGAGACGCCTTGAGCGCTAATGACTCAGCACATAGGTGTCTCGCCACCAACGCCGGAACCAAATGATAGCTTTTTGTGTGCCATACAATCAAGCAGTACTACTGATAACAAGCAGTAGCAATTTGAATAGTCCGCATAGTACAACAGCAGTAGTCACAGTCGTGAGTGTGAGTGACAGGTGTCGCACTGACCCGAATTCTGCCACACCTACAAGCCTGGATATGGACGAGCTGCTCCGCGGGAGGTCTCTACTCGGATAGGCCTCCCTCCACACGATCAAATTCACACCCAGTCACCAACAGTTGCTCCACAATTGCCGTGTCGCTCACCCGTTGGCTGCTCGTATTAGCTAGACTCCATTCGGAGAGCACTGCACACCATGCGGCGTCTCGCGAGTAAGACGCTATCACGACGATGCGCTATGGCTTTGCGGAGCCGCGGACGATAAGTACGTAACTCCGCAACATTTTGATTCTTAGGCATCTATATGCACGTCGGTGTAGGTCCCCACGCGACTGCATGGCGCTGTCGCAGCATTCACGATTCGCCGCTTCGAGGCAGCGCGCGCTACATCTCATCATTACGAATCAGGCCCCCGGGCAAATGGGCCCACAGGGCTCACCTGGTACGCGAGGCAGTGCTCATCAGCAGCGTCGCTGGATCGCCATGCAGTCATCTTGCAATCGATCATCAGTCGAGGGGGAAAGCACGGCTATACCTTTCATATCATTTCTCGAGCTGTTCATTCGTGATTCCTGAGTGACTGGCGTGCCAAGCCGATATATGCGGGTCGAAGGCGCCGACGCATACATTCACGATTCGCGAGTGCACTGACAGTTCATGCCAAGTGTCCATCCGCCCCGGCTCCGATCGCCATCCCCACGCGCTGTCGTCGCGCATGACACTAGCAAATGTCTCACCAAGCGACCATTCTCAGGACCAACTGCCTATAGACATTGAGACTCGTGGCCTGTGGCGTCACTCGACCGCCACGACGCGACGTCGCGCATCCAACATAGGTACAGCGTCACAGGAGATTGAGTCCCGACTCACAACTATTTGCCGTGATCCTGCGTCGCTCGATCGCGTCATTCATGCCTATATCAGCCGCGTCGCCAAAGTGAAACAAACCGGCAAAATGGGCTTAATTGGTAGCTGACCCGGTGCGCCTTCGGGCATCAGCAGTGCTCGCCGAAGAGGCGCCCGGCAAGTCTGTGGGTGCCACATCACAATCTTGAAGCTCGACAAAGGGCCTGTGCGACTCGCCAGAGCGAATTGCGGAGAAGCTCTCGCGCACTCTCTGCGGACCCGCCCTCTGGAGTTCGGGGAGCAATGGCGCCTTCGAGCCGCCACGCAGAGCAAGTGGGAGGGTTCGAACGAGTGGATGGCCGTACGCTTCCCAAAGCGCACCAGTGGCCTCCACGAAGACCAGCGCCCACATTTGTGAGGGCCACGGCGCTGACTCGCCGGGTGGATGAGCAAGAGGAGGCAAAGAGGCGAGAGTTGGAGAGAGAATTGCTGGTGCAGGAGGATGCTCGCACCTTGGACAGCCTTCTCGGACCTCCACCCGTCTTTGAAGCCAGTCAGACAGTGGAAACCTCTGTCTTTGGCCAGGAGTCCGCAACAGCAGGGTCGAGTCAATCCATGGCCAGCTTATATGCGCAAATCGCTGCTGATGCAGCTGTTACCACAACGCAAACGGAGACCAGCGGCTCAAAGCTTGGGCCGTCGGTCTCGAGCGTCTGGGGTCATCATGCTCGTAAGGGCACCGAAATTCCTTCCACTTCGCGCTGCGCCACTGATGCTTGGCGGCAGCGTAAAAGGGCACAGCCCGAAGGAAAGTCACGCAGAAGCGATTGGTTCATTTCCCGCTTCACCAACGCCTCACCACCCACGAAGGCTCAGCAGATCGGTGCTGACGCAGAGGTGGTGGCCAGCTGGCATTGCGCTTCATGCGGCGTGACTCTGCCCAGCACGTCTCCAAGCGGAATCCACGCTCATCTAGGAAGCATTGCACACCAGCTCTCCTTGTCGGCCGAGCCTGCTGCTCCGTCAATACGAGGCAGTGCAGCCGCCCTCGCGTCGTGGGAGAAAGTTTCGAAAGAGCCATGGATACAGCAGGACTTGAATGACGGACTCGAACTGCAGAGGCAAAACAGGGGTTGGTCTGCTCTAGAAAGAATGGGATGGAGGCCAGGCATGGGCTTGGGAAGGAAGGAGTGGGAATTGGTGGGTGCTCAACAGGATCAGTCCGACGATGTGGAGGCTTCGGCGCCACCGGAATCGCCCTCACTGGCACAGTCGCCAGTGACCGCAGAGCCACCTACGGACGCAGGAAATGCGGTATGGAGAGACTGGCAAGATCCGCCTTCTCCCTCGCGACGCGGTCCGGACTCGCCCGCAGCAGCGCAGCAAGGATCATCAGCACACCTGGTCCAGTCGACGCCTGCGGCTCCTTCCACCCCGTCCGATCCCGCCATCGAAGGTCGCGCAAGACGAGTGCCAGTCATCCCGATTCAGAGACCAGACCGACGCGGCATTGGCAAGCCTCTGCCGCTGATGAAAGCAGCACACCGCAAGTCATCAAATATGACCCCTCTACGCCACGCAGAGCTGGTTCGCCAAGGTAGAAGGTACGACCCGCCTACGCGCAGCGACCATGGCTCGTTTTCGCAGTCACAGCCGTCAACATCATTGACAAAGAAGGAGCGAGCGAAACGTCAGCAGCACGACTCTGACAGATTGGCCGCGTTTCGCGACGCTTTGCGTTGAGCTTCCATCTGACTCGATGATCTCGCAGAAGTCACCTATACCCTATCTTGAGCCGGCGCTGTCAGGCTGCTCCACCAGCTAGAATGTTTTCGCGACTACGTGGCAGCACAATGCTCGAGATCACATGCCATCTCAAAAGCGATAGATCTTAGCATTACTTGGCGCGCGGTTCAAGCTGCGTTCTGGGCAAGATGAGCCTCGACTCCGCGATACGACATCACGCGCGCATTGTACTCTTCAAAGTCGAAGCAGTCCATCTGCTGCAGCTCAGCAGGATCGATGCAACCATTGAACAACCTAGCTATCCGCTGCGTCAAGTGAGCTCTAGGTAATGTTACCGAGTCAAAAGTCTTCAATGCGGCAGCGAGTTGCGGGACGAAAATCTCTGACTCCTCGGGAGAGGTGCTCGTGGCTGATCGAAGCGGGCTGAGAAGATGAGACAAGGCATCGGCGTCCTCTAGCGCTTGCGAGCTTCCTTGCCCTGTATGCGGGAGAGCAGCGTGGGCTGCGTCTCCGATGATCACCACTCTCGCATCATTGGAATGCCACGAGGCTAATGTGGGGGCATCCCTGATCTGCGCCAAGTCGAGCTTAGGGCATGCAGTCAATAGCTCCCTCACATTTGGCGCAAATGCGGCGAAATGGTGCGCCGCCTCTTCAGAGCAGACATTGCGGATGAATGCAGCGCAGCCTCCGCGGGTGCCACGCTGGAATCTGGCCAGCAGCTCTGGCGTGCTCGGGAGGTAGGCAAACAGCTGGACATGCTCCTTCGAGATCGGATAGAGGATTAAGCGCTGCTGCTTGGCTGCCCTCCGCATCGGATCTTCCTCGACGTTGCCTTCCTCGTCTACGGGATCCCAAGTCCAATTCATCAAGGTTCCGTTGGGTTGTAGCTGGAGTTTGCTGTCCATCAGCAGATGAGAGTGCTTGCTTAGGGCAGAGACTGGAAGCAGGCCCATATAAGCCACTTGAGGCGCTGTGATGTAAGCGTCTTCCCAGTGTTCAGGCGGCAGCCCTTGATCTGCCAGCACAGCGGCTCGGCCGGTCTTGGTGAGACCATCCGCCAGTATAAGAAGGTCGCCCGACTTTGAGCCAGCTTTGGCTGACTGAATATCAATTTCAAGGCTTCCGAGTCCACTTTCTATCGTGACTGGCGTGCCGGGCAAGGACTTGCAAGTGGTAGGAAGAGCGCGGAGATCCCATTCGTCAATCGATTCTCTCGTCTCGCAGCATTATCGAAGATTCGCGGCACAGCTCACCTCATCCGTTGCTGCTTTGATTAGCCATCGTATCAGGGCACCTCTGCTACAGAAGATGGCAGGCGCGGCAGGGTCTGTCGGAAATTGTGAGGGAGGTACTTCCTCGTCGCTGGCGGGCCGCAGAGCCCACTGCGGCGGAGTTGCAAGACACGAATCAGTGGGCTTCACAAAGCTTTCGATACGTGCGTGGCATCGCCGCTGCCACGAGGCGTGACGCCTATCACAAGTTGACGTTCTTGCGACGACTTGAAACTCACGTAATCGAGCTGGATTCCTCGAAGCTCTTGCGCGTGGTCCTTCATTCCCAGCATTCCAAGTATGTATGCTCCATTGGGCGCCAATGCAATACCATAATCTGTGTCTAGATGCTGTGTCTCGCTCGAAGCAGCGCCGTCGTCTTCCAGTCTCCTTGAATGGTCCGAGCAATCTTGAAGCGCAGCTCGTTCCAACACAGTGACATGGTGAGGAGTCCTTTGCCTCAGTGCCACAGCCGTTGCCAAACCCGCTATGCCTCCTCCCAGTATGACAATATCCAGGGGACGCTCTTGCCCCGTACCTTTCGTCATCATTGGCACCACCCAGAGAAAATGGCAGGAACGGAGCAAGGTCTCGTAAGCGTGTAGGATCTGCGCTCTTCAAGCTTTCAACGACGGTAGTAGAGCAAGTGCAGGAGGCTTTGCTGCTCTACGTAAAACTGCTTGAATTCGCACGCAAGGCGATCATAAAGCTTTGGGTCGCGCATGTGCCCGAGGTATCCCTTTGTCTGTGGACTTTCCGCTTGCTCCCTTTGTCCTTTGCATCTGACGCGTCGCGAGTGGAGCAGGACCCTAAAACCACTCCGCTTGGAGGTGTTGCACGGCTCAACAACCCTCTGCAGACAGGCGACCGCTCGGCAATTCCCGAGTAGCTCACACTCAGACTGCATTACTCATTTCGAGCGCGCCCGTCAGCCATCACGTCAAATCTGGGCTATCTGCCATCCTTCGAATCACGACGGACAATTGGCGCTCTCACTCGAACAAGCGATTGGTTTGCACTGAGTGGAGAGAAGCAATGAAAGCGTAAGTCGAAGGCGTACAAACAAGCAGCTGAGCTGACATCATTCGTGGTGTCAAGGGGATCCTGAAGTGGGCAGCGAGCAAGCGTGATCGCGTATGTGCTTCATGTATTCCATTACCATCGGCCACTCGCAGCTCTACCGACACCGCCAAGGGATTGACCGACTTCATGCCTCACTGACCGTCAGACGACTCTTCGACGGATCGCTTCGCCGAGGTGCTCCAGCGGAACGCCTGGCGCTTTTTGGATGGTGAAGAGAAGTTGGCTGATGGATTTGCATGGTCAATGTACGAGTTCGAGATCACCGCGTCGGTATGTGAAGCGCCAGGCGGAGGCGTTGAGCTCGAGTGCGTTGCGCTGCCGCCGTTGCTAAAAGCTGCCGAGGTCGCTTCCTCGGGTAGACCAGCCTCGCTCGCACTATCCCTCGTAGTCTTGGGCGACGTGGAGCTTTGCTCGACTGTCGAATCGAGATCTGCGCCGCTGGGTGTCCCTCGAAAGAATGATCGCAGCCTACTTGTGCGGACATCTGGTGAGCTAGAAGCGACGCTGGACTCCGGGTGCGAAATGGTGCGTGACAGGGGGCTGAATACGTCATCTGTGCTTCGATTGGCACATTCACCGCTTGGGCGTCCCGGCGCACCTCCTCGCGGCAAGGAGTCTGAGCTGGAACGAAACCCTGAAAGCGCGCCCGACGAGTGCAAGTAGGGATGGCGACCACCAAGACCATGATCGTGCTTATCTGTCGCAGCCCCATCACGTCTGGAGTTCAGCAGAGCAGCAATGCGCGGATCGGACTCCTGAGATGGCCCTTGCGTTGGCGAGTGCGCTGCGTGTACCCAAGTGTCGAAAGCGCTCCATGACCGTCGGCCCTGCTCCTCGTCGGCCGTAGCGCTCGTATCGAAGGCACGTCGAACAGCGTCGTAGTCTGAAGGAATGACTGGTTGATTGGCAATTGGCCAGGCATCAAGCGGGCCTCGTATGACAGGCCTATTGATGCTCAATGCGCTGTCAGGCCCATCACTCGAATGCTTGTTGCGAGAACCGCTTCGAAACGCTTTAGCGCCGGGATTGAGCGACAATCTCGGGAAGATTGAGCTAGAACGCCGCTTCACATTCTCTCCGCTTGTGCCCGGTGCCACTTCTACCATGGGGGTTGGAGGCGATACCGACCCCTGTAGCTCCGGCTTTTCTGCTTGAGGCTCACCCTTACTCGATGGCCGGCCCTTGCCGCCCCACCACGAGCGCCTGGATACTTTCGTCGCAACGTCCCCAGCGCCTGTACTTTCCGTCTGCGTAGGCTCGACTGTCTCAGCCAAGTCAGCGGGACCAGTGACCACTGAATGCTCCAAAGCCCCCTCCTTAGCGTCCTTGTCTGATGCCAGACTGCCTTCCACGTCAGATGTGTCTGACTCGAGACCCAACCGCCCCAAAGCTGCTTCGACCTGCTCTGAGCGCGAGCCGGGCAAAATGCCGGCATGCGTCTCATCGTCGTCTGCATTGAGAAAGAGGTTTCGCGGGAGGAGATCCGTCGAGAAAGGGGACAATGGTGTGAAAGGCGTTGCTGGCACTGCCGCATCCATTCCGACATATTGGCGAGGCGGCGTGATCGTGTTGCCATTTATCGCTCCCGAAAGCGACATGTAGCCTTCGGCCCCTCTTCGCGCGTGAAGCAGATTTGAGTCCACAACACCGGGCGTGAGGTCGGACCGATGGCCAGTGTGCGCATTTTCAAAGCCAGGTATGAAGTCGCTCGCGCGTCTTGAGCCACGACGTGACACATCGGCATCCGGGTGTTGTTCTTGATCGACCGGGACGATCAATTGCGGCGAGAAGGTGCTTGCTGCTGCTGCTGCTGCCTCTGCTCGCGCCCGTTCTGTCCTTCCACTGCTCCATCCGAAATCAAAAGGCGCAGGGCCAAACTCGTCCTCCGAGTCTCGGCGATCAGTGGCCGCATTGTCGCTAGGGGCAGATAGGAGCGGATAGATGTTGGACTGGGGGGCTTGAGGTGGGAGAGAGCCGTGAATTGACGGATCGTAAAAGGGATAAGCATAGTGTTGAGGGACGACGTGCTGCGGAGGGTGGTGAGGATGGTGTTGCAAATGGGGTGGCACAGAAGGATGATGCGCAGCAGTAGCATTGGAGGCAGATTGAGTCTCATGAGCCAGCTGATGGGCTCTGTGCTGCACAATTGCCTGCTCCTTGCACGCCTGGAGATTTGCTTCTTCCTCCGAAAGCCGCTTCTCGAGGTGGCGCAGTCTCTCACGAAGCTCCTCGATGTCTCTCACTGCGTCTTCCTCTGCTTTGGCTTTTTCGCTCGATTCTTGCTCCACCTCGAGTGCCTTCTCCGCTAAATGCCGTTGATTTTCTGAGACTCGCCTTGCACTTGCAGTCTCTCGTTTGTGTAAAGCAGCTACATCCTTCCGCCTTGCTTCTATTCGACCTTCAATGGCTTCGCGCAGTCCTACAGCTGCTTTGAGCCGCCTTTCTGCATCTCTCTTGCTATTGTCAGCTTGTCTCCTACTGTCGTCCAGGCCCCTCATCCTCCCTCTCAGGTCCAATCTCGTGCCATCCTCTTCACGCTTCCGCTCTCTCAACTCGTCTAGTTGTGCTTGCAGCTGCTCTCTAGTAGTTCCAGAGTTGGCGTGTATCTGGTCAAGGGCTGCCTGGAGCTCTGCCGCTGCACTATTCGAGGTTGCCAGCTGTTGAGCCAGAGCAAGCAAAGCGGGTGAAGCTGCGCCCACCTTATTCATGATTGCAGAGGTCTCGGAGCATTTGATCGCGGGGCTGCTAGCCTGCGCATCTCTCGGTGTGTTGGCAGTCGGCGTCACTCGAGAGGCTCTTGTGTCATGATCTGATCGTTTGCCCGGCTCCGCTGATGCTTTCAGATCACTGACCACGGCCTCTTTAGTGGGCAGCGGCTGACTTGGCCGGGGTCGCTGAAGGTGCTTCTTTCGCCGAGACTTGGATGGACGCGTCGATGCTCCAGGCTTCTCGGAATGCTCATCCTCCAGCGTGGTTGTCTGCTTCTCTGCTGCGCTTTCGATCAACGGCGAGGCGGGCTCGCCAGCTTCATACTCGTCTCGCGTTGGCGAATCGTCAGCTGCTCGCATCAGTGGATACCATTCAGGTGAGGGGTCAGTGGGGCAAGGTGTTGCGCGGCAAGCGCTGCTGGACTTACGCGTCGCTCTGGCCTCGTCGTGAGCGAGCATTCCCAGGACCCCGTAGTCGTCATCGGTTTGTCCGCTGGAGGCTGTTGATGCACTACCGCCATCTGCCCTTTCGGCCCGGTCGGCCCGGTCCAATCGAGACTCCAGAGCGCAGCTCAACGTTCCACCGAACCATCGACCAAATGCGCCAACGAACCATGACTTTTGCTGCAAGGGTCCAGCTACATGACGCGTTCCGCAGTGTGCGCAATCCACCTTCCCATCCGCGCCTGGTCTACGCGCAGAGAAATTGCTGCTGCCTCGGTGACCATCTGTCGGAACGTGAGTAACGGAGACAACAGTGAAGAGACCTAGATCCCTCCTCCTATACGGCGGCGTGCGAAGTGAGATGGAGATCCGGTTGGCAAAGGTGATGACGTGAGGCGAGGTCTGTTGCTCCGCCGCTCGAATGCTCAGCTCGTCCAAAGCGTCTGACCCTATATCATCCTGCTTCTCTGACGAGAGTGCGAGCACTGGTGCAACAGGCGGAGCATCCTCGTGAAGCTGACGAAGGTGCTGATGCAGAGAGAGGTCTGCCAGGAAAGTGCGGAATGAAGCATCGCTAGGATTTGTCCAGTACGCTGGGTGCATGTAGTGCATATCGGGTCAGGAAAAGTCGACGAGAAGAGTGGGCGGGCAAGAAGGTGACTCACCAATTGTCAAGATCGAAAGCAGTCCAGCAGCAGTCCATAATAGCGTGCGAATGTCGACAGCCAAGAGCAGATCCGATGCGGTGGAGAGAGCGTGCAAAAGTGAGTCCAAAGCAAGTGCTATCCGACGCATGAGCTCGCTAGCTGTAGGGATGCTGAAGAGCGAGGTGGAAGCGAGGGTGCCCTGCGCTGTCGCTCCCTGATGAGCGTGCATCAAGCTCAGGCCACCAAAGAAGAGGGAGGTGGCAGCCATGAAGACCGAATAAAAGATGAGCGTC